CGCCTCTATAAGCCACCTGCTGGGGTTATATTCCCGAAGAAGGATTAATCTTGTCATGTTCTCTGCTTGTCATTAACATTCCTTTTGTTAGTAGTTTATTTATTATTTTTTATTTCTGCATTCTGTTTCAATATATAAGGCATCTACTTGTACAGATGTGCACCTTTGCTTTTGTGATAAACCCTTATGCGTGTCTGCTTATTTCATGGTCAAGCAAGGTAATGGAAATCAAAAGGATAATAACAAATAATAAAGGAGATGCGTTCAACCAAGGTTTGGAGGAAGCCCAAAGACTCGCAATGTTTCAATATTAGAGCCCATATGAGAATGGTTTTTTGCACGTATTTCAATTTGTTTGATGTGAATAGAGTTCTCTGGCTTTAGATTTATTAGATATGGTTCATTATGTTATTATTAAAATCTTGGTTTGGTTGAGGTTCTTTAAAGGATTCCTTGCTTTAAGTCAATAAATCTTGGTTACTTGATCAAGCATGGTAGAGCACTATAGTTGGACACATTTTTATTTTACACATGTTGGAGACTTAGATAGTAATTAGCTTTCCTTGTATTTTACATCATGGTGTTGTGTGTTGATGGATATGAAATAAAGGGATTTGGGTTTCATTTCATATTTAAAGTAGTCGAGAGAATTGGTATTGAAGTGCTTCCATTTGAAGCGTTAAGGTAAAGGTATGAGATTTATCCTACTAGAATAGTTGTGCCGCTAGAATTTTGAATGTTTAGGTCAAAATTCATGTTTTTTTTTTCCTTCTTCAAAATCATTCATAAAATTCTTATAAATCCATTCATGGAAAATTTAATCCAAGCTATATTGCTTGAAGTTCTTTTTGTTGGAAGGTGGAAAATAAAAGGAATGGAAGAAGGTAGGAGCACAAGGATATCAAAGTTCACCTTTTTTCTTCCAAAATTACTGAGATAAGGTTCTCAAATTCATTCGTGGAGTTTGTCCTCGTCAAATGATTTTTAGTTATGTTTAGTCTTGCTAAGGTTCACTATAGGAAATTACACTTTTAGCTACCAAATTTTTAGTCGCCGAAGGTTCTTTTTTAGTCTTCAAAAGTCATTGGCGACTAAAGTTTTTTGTTGCCCATTTAGTCACTGAAGCCTTGTCGGCAATAGTCAATGGCGACTAAATTCGCGTTGGTCACTAGTTATATTATCTTCAGCTACTAAAACAAACTTAGTCGCCAATGGTCACTTTCTGGCGACAAAAGATTTAGTCGCCGAACGTGATCAAATAAAAATGAAATTCTTTTTCAACAACTAAATATTTTAGTCACCAATAATAACATATTTAGCGACTAAAAAATTTAGTCACTGTTTTATGCCACCATTAGCCACCAAATAGTTTAGTCGCCAAAAGACTGGATATTTTCATTGCACTGTATTTTACGGCCAAACATTTTTGCCGGCGATGGTGGATTGTTCTTTTGTGACTAAAATATTTAGCTAGCAATATTGTTTTGGCTACTAAATATTTGGTCGCCAAAAGTCTTTTGTTTTTTTTTTTTGCTACAAAATATTTAGTCACCCAAAACCTTTGCTTACATTTTTGGCTACCAAATATTTAGTAGCCAAAAACTTTACAATCTGATTTTTTAATTAATTTCTCAACCACCTGTATTCATTCCATTATTAGTGCAACCTGTACCCTGTATATAAACAAAATAATTCATATATTGATTATATTATCGATCATTCCAGAACATGCACACATTTCACTTTCAACCATCCAATAAATTCATATTTAACATCAAATTCCAAATGTAATAGAAATTTCATATAAACAAAGTATAATCCAATTTGAAAAATGTAATTTCATACAGAACAGAGGATTAAACAAAAACCATGCCCTATAAACACAAAAAAGTAATCCAAAAAAATAATATATATAGACAATAGTAATATGTAGACTAAAACAATGTCCTCTGTAATTGTCCAAAAAAAGTCGTATCCACAATTCCACACCAAAAACCATCTGTAAAAATAAAATTAATCATTAGTATAGACTGAATATTGGCATATTTAAAATTATAAAAGAAAATCACATAAAACTCAAATGTAATTAATCTTTTCAAATTAATCTTTACTTTTGCATACTCAAATGTATAAAAAAAAAATCAAAAAAAAAAAAAAAAAGAAGAAGAAAGAAATTCAAAAAAAAAAATTCTAGTAATTTTTCTAAATAATTCTTCATAAACAACTCAAATCGTAGTTAGCAACTTAGAAATTCAACTGACAAACAAATTAGTATTGACACAGACAATTCATAATTCCAATTTAGTATTAAGATAAAAATAAATCTCCAATATAATTTCACCAAAAGCTAAGGCTATTTCAACAAAGTGATATTAAACTTCTAGCAAAACAGGGCAAACACATAATATGTAGACTAGGGGCTCCAAAGAAACTTCAAAAAAAAAAAAAAATAATAATAATAATAATAAAAAAATAAAAAATACATTAATAATTGTCCCATTATGAGTATAGTCATTGTTCATTTGTGAAAGCTATGTTCAAGTTCGAAAGTGAAGGTAAACTTTTTAGTTTGTTTATGTTTTACTTCCATAAATGGAAAGTATATATATATTAAAAAAGAATCAATATGCAACAACAGATCATACTAGAAGCAGCGTTGGAGATATTGATCTTCTTTTTTTTTCTTTTTCTCACAAATCAAAACTACTTCTACTACTACTTGTGAGCAGCACATTTAAACAGCACAAATGGATATGGTTTTGAACAATTAATAATAATGTAAGAACATTTAAAACAGTGGTTTGGGGCTATTTTGCATTTTCGCCCCCCAAATCCCATTTTCCGACTATGTTTAAGGTATAACTCTCAATTTATGAGTCCTATTTACATACCATCAGTTCTCACAAGTCATTTTGACATAAGGAAGCTGCTCGTTACATCCAAACAGTGGTTGCGTGGCTGATTTGCATTTTTGCCCCCTCGAACACCCTTTTTCGACAAAGTTTAAGGCGTTTTTTACTCTAAATCCCAATCTACATGTCCTCTTTACATACCATCAATTCTCACAGGTCATTTTTGGCATGATGAAGCTGCCCGTTACATTCCAACAGTGGTTGGGGAGCTATTTTGCATTTTCGCCCCCCAAACTAAGGATGGCAATTTGAACCCGGCCCGACGGGGACCCGACCCCCCGACCCCGATTTAAGCGGTTTTTCCCCAAAAAATGTCCCTAACGGGATGGGGATGGTATTCAAAAATCAATCCCCGATCAATTTCGGGCCGGGGACGGGGATAAGTGTCCTAGCCCCGTACATGGCCCGACCCCGTCCCCGTTCCCATCCCCGTTCATCCCCAAAGCAAAATTACTATTTTACCCCTTTCTATAAATATAAACCAAAGAACTCTCTCTCTGAGTCTCACGGCTCTCATCTCTCTCTCCCTCACTCACGGCTCTCATCTCTCTAAGTCTCACTACCAGTGCTCTCATCTCTCTCCCTTACTCACTCAGATCTCTCTCATCTCTTATCAGCATCAACATCAGATCCACCACCACTACCGATCTGAACAGATCGGTGAAGCCACTGATCTGAAGCCACCACCACCACCGATCCCTCCGTTGCCACCGATCTGAAGCTACGACTATGACCAGGACCGTGAAGCCACCAATCGATGTCTTTATGCTGATAAGAAGCTACTGATCTGAAGCCACCGACCGTGAAGCCACTGATCGTGAAGCCCCAATTCTCTTTCTCTCTCTCTCTCTATATATATATATATATATATCTGTTGTTGATTGATTAACAAATTTTTTTTTCCAAGTTGTTATCTATATTATATGTTGTTGTCTGTTGTTGTTGATGAACAATATTATATCTGTTGTGTGTGTGTGTGTGTTGAACAGATCTGTATACATACAGATTAATTTCTTTTTTCTTGTTTGCTCTTGTGTTTGTATCTGTGTTGAACAGATTTGTCGGGGATTTTTTGGGGTCAAGGAAACCCGATCCCCATTAGGGGACGGGGACGGGAGAGGTGAAGGGTTCCTCGCCGGGGATCGGGGGCAGGGCCGGGGATTTTGTTATTGTCAGGGATCGGGGACGGGGAGGGTCATCCCTGGCCCCGCCCCCTCCCCGTTGCCATTCTTACCCAAACCCCCATTTTTCAACTAAGTTTAAGTTTAAGGTGTTTTTGACTCAAACTCCTAATCTACGTGTCCTATTTATGTACTATCAGATCTCACAAGTCATTTTTGGCATGAGGAAGCTGCTCGTTACATCCTAACAGTGGTTGGGGGGCTATTTTGCATTTTCACCCCCCGAACGCCTTTTTTTGACTAAGCCTCCGTGGGGAAGTGGGTTGGCTTTTTGGCTTTTTGGCTTTTTTGACTATATGAGCCTAGGCTCAAAAGCTTAGTTTGGGAAGGGCTTTTGGCTTTTTGGATTTTTGGATTTTTTTGTGAGAGATGAGTGTAATGATTATGGGGTTGGATGGGATGTTTTGTCTATTGTGGCTCATGAGCCTATTCTGTCTTTTATGGCTCATTGAGCCAAAAAAGCCCAATGAGCCCTTGCCAAACCAACCCTAAGTTTAAGGCGTTTTCAATACTAACTTCCAATCTGTGTGTCTTATTTATGTACCATTAGTTCTCATAGGTCATTTTTGGTATGAGGAAGCTGCTCATTACATCCCAATAGTACCTTGAAACTAACCAAGCACCCAATTCCCAAGGATAAAGAAAATAAATTGGGCAAATTACACTAATAGTCCCTGTACTTTATCTCTCGTGTCACTTTGGTCCCCATAGTTTTAATTTACTCGATTTTGACTCTCAATTTTTGATTTTGTATCATTTTAGTCCAAGTGTTAACACCAGTTAAAATTGTCGACAGAAAACAAACATGTGAGACGCGCATGCCATACTTTAGGGGTAAAATAGTAACTTCACCAATACTATTTATTTTGTTTCCTTCAAATCAGTGAGTTCACTCATAGAAAACAAACACGTGAGACACATATGCCATACTCTTAGGGGTAAAATAGTAACTTCACAAATACTATTTATTTTTTTGCCTTCAAATCAGTGAGTTAACTCATAGAGTTCACATTATAATTTTATCCTAAAATCTCATTTTTCTAAAGAGAGAACTAGGAGGAGAAAGAGGAGAGAAACAAAATGGAATAGGAAGAGGGAAATGTGGTGGCTTATTGGTGTTGAGACGAAAAAGTAGTGTGGTTGAGAAGATCGAGGACAACGGAGATTCTGACAGAGAATGAGCGGATCACGGTGAAAGAGAGCAAAGGTGAGGCTGATAGATAGGGGTTGTGAAGGGGCTAACTAAGCCCAAAGTGATCGCAACTGAGTAAGGTAAGGAAGGGGTTGACAGATGGAAGTCGTGAAGGAGCTGACGAATGGAGGTCTGGGTTGGGAGATGCCGATCTTCTAGTAGATCACGACGATCTATTCAACAGATTGCAAAGAATCTTCTTCTCTTATTTTCTCTCTTCTCTTCGGTTGATTTTTTTATTTGATTTGTATGATTTGTTGTTTGATTTGATTGAATTACTATTTGATTTGGAGGAATTGGCGGTCTGTCACTTTGTTATTGTCATTGTTATCATCTCTCTCTGTTATTTTTTTGACTGTGACTTTGTTGTTTGGTGATGGTGGGATGATAGGGGTAGATGAAGGAGGTTGGATGGAGGTGATCGGTATGGCAGGTATGTGCAAAAGACAGGGTGGTGAGTTTGGTAGTCTGTGTGGCAGATGATACTGGGTTTGATGTGGTGGAGGTGGATGGTGCTGATGTTGGGATTGGCCATGGATGATTTTGGTAGTGGAGGAAAGCAACGGTGGTAGGTGATTATTGTGTTGCAAAGACTCAAGAGGAAAAAGATGGTGAAACAAGGAAAGGGTTGTGAAATGCCTATATTGTCCGTGAAAAAGGGTCATGTGCGTCTCACGTGTTTGTTTTCCGTCAATAATTTTAACCGGTGTTAATAATTGGATTAAAATGATACAAAATAAAAAATTGAAGGTCAAAATCGAGCAAATTAAAACTACAAGGACCAAAATGACACAAGAGGTAAAGTGGAGGACTGTTAGTGTAATTTTCCTAAATAAATTTGCATGTTATTGGCTAATAGATATGTGCAATATTTCCAAAGTTGATTGACTCTCCAACAATTATAATTAACAGTGAAGTGATTCTCATTCATTCTCCCTTTCAAACTTGACATTACAATGGCATAGATCATGCAATATACGTCTCTAATTGTGCTTACCATAGAAATACAGAACTTGAAATTATGTTATGCATATTACAATCAAGTTAGGCAAAAATAGATGTTAAAATTTTCAAACTTCAAACTCTCCGTAACACCAACTTGTAGGAGGTATGACAAAGGAACTTTCAAATGCCCATAAACATATTCATAATTAAAAAAAATATGTTATAGATGTGGTATTTATACTTCTTAGAGCAAATAATAACAACCTGATGGGTAATTATGTTTGGAAAATAGAATACAATTTATAAACCAGAAATAACTTGTGAAGGAATTCTTTCACCAGCTAAATTTTAGATTTCAAATCACGTTTACATCTCTGTCTTGTGCCATTGAGCTAGGGGAAACCTGGCTCTGATACCACTTGACAGAACGGAATACGCATGAAACTAGATATCGTTTTAGTAGACGAATACTCTTGAATCCACAAGAAAGAAACCCTTGAATCCACAAGCAAAATAGAGTAACTTGAAAATTATAATGATAGAGAATGCCTTTGCCTCTAGGGTTACATAACTATTTACACTAGATAAAGTCTTGGTCACCAAGCATACCTGGATACCAAGTAATATAAAAAGAACTAATTGACAGTCTTGGTCAACAAGAATACTTGGAGACCAAGTATAGGAAAATATAAGAAAATAATAAATTAAGAAGTGGGTTTGGTCTGAGGATGAGATTCTTGTGGCTTCTGAGAAGAATCCGTGGTGTATGGTGTCATCCAAGCATAAGATCATGAGAGTGATGGAATTTTTTGTCAATAAAATGGGTTGGGATTCTTCATTTCTTGCAAGAAGTCCAATACTTATTGGTTTTAGCTTAGAAAAGAGGATTGTTCCAAGGTGTGCAATGTATCAAGTATTGTTGTTGAAAGGTTTGATTAAGAACAGTTTTAACTTGACAACTATGTTGAAGAAACTTGAAAAGTGGTTCCTAACGAAGGTTGTCAACTGTCATGAGGAAGAAGCTCCTGAGCTATTGAAACTGTAGAAGGACAAGTTGGCTCCTGCAAAGAAAATATAATATAAGGATGTTTCTTTTGATACCAACTCAACAAACAATTGCCCTGCTGTCTTGTTTCTCCTGGTTTAACACTGGTTATTGATTTATCTCATTTTGTCATCTGTAAGCAAGTTTGAGGTCAATGTTTTCACTCTGACAAATGAGATTTGAAGGTTCACATTGCTGCATTGAATCTTTATCATTCTGTAATGGCTAAGGCTTGAAGCAGTGTACCTATATCTGAAGATTAGCCAACTCGTTAATGTTGCATTCATCATTTGAGTAACCGTTGCACATTAACAGTTATAATGTAGATTGTTGTGTCCAGTAAATTGTTGATGTTATGCCTATGAGATGTTAACAGAGTGTCGGTAAGATAAGCCATTGTCTAACTTTTTTGTAGGGCTAATTGTGCAAGCCTCATTTGAAGGTAAGTAATCTTTTAAAGTTTAAATGCCATGATTTCTAGCAGCAACTGACAAAGATTGTCACATTTTCTTCAAAGATGCATTTTTCATTTTCTTAAGTTCACTCTTCTATTGTAGGGTTCCCGAATTTTGTATACTATTTACTGCATACAATAAGTGTAGCGGCTAGACAAGAACTAATATTTAGCTTCAATTTGAAATAACAATGATAGTTGAAATGGTTCACAACATATGGAAGTGTAGAGAAGTCTCTGGAATTCCTTGAAGGCTTATGGACTAGATGAGTGATCGGTGTTAGAAGCTTCTTGAATGTGTTTAATTAATTCATCCATAGCTAACACCAACAGATAAGGATGCAAAGTTGACCCTTGATGCAATATCCTGCAGTGATTGGAAATTAGCAACTAGCCCGGAGGTTCTGAATAAGCTGAAATTAGCAACTTCAACTATGCAAACCATTGAAACCTTTTCTCTACCCTGCATTTGGTTTGTGCAATTCTGTTAACTAGTGATGTTCATGGTCGTTCTGGTTGCTTAGTTTCCACATTTCTCATGTACATTAGAAGCATGACTGTGGTGTAAAGCTGTCATATAGGCACTGAAATGTTCCACATTGTGAGCTGTGGGCTTATAATTTGAGGTTATCAGATCTAGGTTATTATTTGTATTCTATTGGAAGCTATTATTTGTTTTCTATTGGAATGGGCACGTGGCATGGCTGGTGTTGGACATTTTTACCTTGTGACATTACCTTAAGTTGTATAAATAAGCTCATATTCTGTTGTCTTTTTTATTGTCTATTTTTAGTTGGTTGAGATAGGGGACCTAAAACCTTATCCAACTTTGTGGCATGAGGATAATGGTAGGAAGCCATGGGAAAATTGAAGGTATACTAGATTGTCTTTTCATTCAAGTGCCAATTTTTAATTGATTGATTCTACTCTTGATGCATACTTGACATTGTTGTCTTAATATTCTAAAAGAATTGTTGTTTTAGGCTTTCTTCTTTCAGGCAAGATCCCCCTGGAAGCATTTCTGGCTGGCATCTAGGTGATGTAGCACATCGACTTGTAGCTAATAGCTTACAATTAAGGGCAAATCGGAATGGTTACAACAATGAGGAAAAGAAAATGTGTGTAAGATCTGCAGAAGTAGCTAACAAGAAGCATTTGGAAGGAGTGAAGAAAATAGCTAAGCTGGAAGCAAGTGCCAAAGATTGCGTGGTCTTGTGCGGAAGAAGTTGCCAGGTCCTGCAGCACTGGCTCAAATGAAGTTAGAAGTAGAGAACTTGGGCCGGGATTACGGAGAAACTCGAGTAAGGAGGTCTCCTTTAAAGCCACCAAGTCCACACCCACCCCAATTGCCTGACTTTTCCCTTGATAGTGTACCAAAATTCGATAAAGAGAATGATTTTCTCATAGAACGTCTTTTGGCAATGGAAGAAAAAACAAAGATGTAGAAAAACGCTTTGGCAATGTGCACTAGTGAATTGCAAGCTTCCAAGAATATTTGTGCTAAGACAGTCAGCAAGCTTCAAATTTTAGAATCACAACTGCATGCTGATAATCAACAAAAAAGTCCATCAAAATCTAGTCTTCAGATCCCCACTGAAGGTTCCCTCATTCAAAATGCTATCAGTCCACCGAGCTTCACCTCCATGTCTGAAGATGGAAATGACAATGAAAGAAGTTGTGCTGGTTCTTGGGCTACAACATCGATCTCTGAGCTTTCCCATTTCAAGGGAAAGAACATCAAGAAATCTAACAAGGTTGAAAATGAAAATCACCTGGAGCTTATGGATGACTTTCTGGAGATGGAGAAATTGGCATCAAATGATTCAAATGGAGCCATCTCTGGTTCAGATATTTCAAATAATATGAGATCTGAAATGGCAAACCAAGATACTACAATCAACCCACATTTCCATTCCAAAGAACAGCTTGAGTTGGATTTGTTAGAAAATCATGAGTCTAATGCGGAATTGCCAGTACCAGATCCACAATCTGATATTGATCCACTGCCCTTGATGAAATTCCAAATGCAAATCTCTATGTTGTTTGAGTCCAACGATGCTGATATGAAAAATATTTTGGACGACATCAGATGTGTTGTGCAGGAAACACAGGATAGCCTGCATCACCAAACCATGGGTTGTGTTTTCATGGAAAGTCACTACTCTGATGCCACTTATGATAGGCAGGCTTGTTTTGAGGGGGCTGAAGTAACCGAAGAGAAGGAAATGTCTTTGTCCAAAGATAGTTCCATTAATGAAGAATTGGTAGCTGCCGTATCTTGGATTCATGACTTTGTATTGGTTCTGGGGAATGAAGCTACGGCTGTCCAGGGAACATCTCCTGATGGGGATGTACTGAACCAAAAAATTCAGAAGTTCTCTGCCACCTTCGATAAGGTTATTAACAGCAAAATAAGTTTGCTTGATTTTGTTCTTGACCTTTCTTATGTTTTGATTAAAGCCAGTGAACTTCACTTTAATGTCCTGGGCTATAAGAATAATGAAGTAGAAACCAATTGTTCTTATTGCATAGACAAGGTTGCTTTACCTGAAAGTAAAGTGGTTCGGGACACATCAGGAGACAGATATTCAAATGGTTGTGCTCACTTTTCTGATTTCGCTTCTGATCATGAAGGAAGTTTCATTTCAACCTTTGAATCAAATGCTACATCGTTGAAATGCTTGCTTGAGGAGTTTGAACAGTTGAAATTAGAAAAAGATAACATGGCTTTGGATCTGGAAAGCACCAAGGCTCAACTACAGGGAACAGAGCAGCTTCTGGCAGAAGTTAAATCACAATTGGCATCTGCTCAAAAGTTGAATAGCTTGGCAGCTGAAATGTATGGCCGAGTCATACAAGTCTCTTGAAACACATGCAAAGGAGTAGCAAACTGAAGTGAATCTTTTGCCTGCCAAAACAGAAAATTTAGATAACGAGTTTCAAGAGGAAAGGCGGAACCATCAGGATGCTTTGGCCAAATAACAGGATTTTTAGTTCCTAGCATTTTTATCGCATACTGGTCATCCTGCCCACAAACTGATATGTATTTCAGGTACAATGTCCAAAAGGATAGTTACAGAATCAATATCAGGCCTGATCAATATCAGGCCAGCATCGGGTTTTATTATATCAAGCCTGCTCCATTCTATATGTTTTATGTGGTTAACTAAAAGTAAAAATGTAGATGATTGAATCTCTACATGTGACCCATTGATCCTTGTCTCTTGTTTCTCCCTCTGAGAAGTTAAATGATTTTCGGAAAGTACATCTTGCCTTTGTTCGTCTATATATTTGTTTGTTTATATGTACTCATGCCTCAAGTAGATTTTGATTTATCTCTGATTCTTTTTATTTCTTTATTTTTTTAAAAAAGAATTAGAGTTGCACAGTGGCTGACGTTGATGTGACGACTAACCAGGTGAGGGTTTATACTTATATCCACCATGTGTTTACAATTTTGGACTTGTTCAAATGCTCGCAAGCTTTCACTTCTAACTTCACCTAGCCTATGTTAAATGTAGGAATCTGATATTTTAACAGAGAGTCATACTTCGCTTTAGGGTTTTGTTTATTTGTTTAGAGTAATGCTAGGGATCATGAAAATGATCATGAAAGATTTGGCCTTTCATTGGGGATACACGAATAAACACATGGTCACCGACCTCATACTCAGGAGGTCTTCTTCAAACATCTGCATAGTTCTTTTATCGGTCCTAAGCTGTTTTGAGCCTCTACCGAATAATTTGGATTTTCTCAGAAGTGTCTTGCACAATTTCGGCCCAAGCAAAGCTCTATCCCCGACTTCTGTCCAACAAATAGGTGATCTACACCTTCTACCATACAAAGCCTTGTATGGTCCCATACCGATGCTGGAGTGGAAGCTGCTATTATAAGCAAATTCTGCAAGTGGCAAATAATCTTCCCAACTCCCTTGAAAATCT